CCCTTGTCTAGGTTTTTATCAACAGCTATTTTATTCTATGTTGCAATTTTGTCAACGTACAAATTATTTTGTTTGCTCTTACTGCTTAACTTCACTGGATTCATGTCTTAATTTCAATTTGTGTCTAATATCTGTTATGTTGTTGGGCCTAGGGTATAAATAATTAGTACATACTCATCCATTGGCTCAGGCTTAATGGGCTATCTATAAAATGTGTTCTGTAACAAAAAATATTTTGGTTATTTTTTTCTATAGTGAATGTACAATAATATTAGTAATGCTAATGATATATGAAATAAATCATAAATGAACTGCAGAAATGAAAATGAAGAAATGATCGTCGCAGTGAACGCAATTTATGCAATTGCGTAAAGAAGCCTGAAAAAACTTCTTTTAAATACGCAATTGCATAAATTGCGTTCACTGCGATGATCATTTCTTCATTTTCAATATTAGTAATGTGTAATAGCAATTTATAAATTATATATAGAAATGTCCAAAGCACTGTCTGGGAAGACTAAATGTCATTATCATTTATGAATTTTTACTTTTTTCTCTTTAATAGATTAAGGGAAATGCTTCTTGTTGAAGAACAAAGTTATATTGAGGAAATGGAAGCAAAAGAAGAAACAACTCTTGAAAGACAAGCAAAAATGAGAGAGCGAGCCAAGTTTTTGAAAGAGAAGAGGGAGGAAGAACGACTAAGACTTGTACAGGAAAAATATGACCAAAGATGGAGGTACAGGCAGTATTACAAATAGCATAATTATATAAGTCATTATTCTGAATTTACAGTGTATTGAATTAATTAATTTATTACACGTATACGGTGCAATACATGCATAGTGCTTGTCCTGATTTTTCTGGCCTAACTTACGATATTCCTGGTGGTGTTGAAGATTTTTACATTTCTTTAGTCTTGACGTGGCCTCAGATGATACATAGTTAATTACGTGTGACTGTAAATGGGTGTTTAATTAAAAAGCTCCGCAGTGTATATGTAGCATTCATTTTGGTATGATAAAGTACAAGCATGTACCAAAGCTCCCATATCTCTGTCAATAATAATTTGTTTTCTGGTTTTTATTTTCAGAGATAACTGTGAAGAACTCCGCTCAACTCTTACTCAGCGGCACCGAGATGAAGTTTTCCAGGAGCGTAATTCACAGCTAGTGATGAAGGAGCAGCAGAAAAAGAAGGATGCTGAGGTGGATAGATTTTATGCTGATTTATGGGCAAAAGATATTGCAATAAAAAGTCAGAGAGAGGAAGAAACTGCACAAGAACAGATTGAAAGAAACAGAGAAACTTTAAAGGTACCGGTGATAATAATACTGGTCGATTATTTTTCTTTTGCAGCAAAATCTAGTTATTGCTAGCAGTGAGATTTTTTATTATACTTGCTATTTATATGTCTAGCCTTGGGGAAATTCCAAAGACATCTGACTCAGTTTGTGATTTTAAAGTTTACAAATTAAATGTAACTATAAAGTGTTTTCACTCACGTGGCCAGCATCTATGCAAATTTATTGGAACAAAAGAAAGCATTTACAAAAGAAAAGAGTTTAATTCCTATGGGATTTGTTTGAAGGACCAACATGGCCGCCATTTCATTGTTTTCAATTGGAACACCAAGATGGCCGCCATGATGTCATGTGAAAATGCTCTATAGCAAACTTGAATCAAGTTCTAGTTTGAAACTAAAAAAACAGAAATGAAATAAGTGAAAATAAATGAAACTGAGCTGGCTTGAAAATTTGATAGTCAATTTTTTTTTCTGCAGAATTGTATAAAAATATGTGATGAAAAGAGGTAAAAAATGTCATGATGGTGAATGTGGCAAGATGTGAACTTTTGGAGAATTCTACTTTAAGCTCAAGCAATTAAAAATAGAAAACAGAATTTTATGATATTCTGGTCAACGTTCCAACTGCCTGTTTATTATAATGGGAAATTTCTGATGTCTTTGTTTCTTGGTTAAATCAGATGCATAAAGTATACGAACATTAGTATCAACACTACATGTATGTGATGAATGGCCATTTCTGAATCCATTTTCAGTGCAGTTTTGAAAACGTTGTGTTGATAACGTATAACTAAACTGATTTCTTTTTAAATAGGTACTACAAGTGCAAATATCAGCCTGTGAAAAGCAACGTGAAGATGAGAAGAAATTAAAAGAAATGGAAGCAGAGTGGTTGAAAGAAGAAGCAAGGCTAAGAAAAGAGGAAGAGAAATGGCTTCAGGAAGAAAAACTGTGCAAACAGAAAGCTGCCAAAAAATCCAGAGAGGTGTCCATTAGACTTAAAAAAGAGAAAGAGGTTTGTGACATGATGCTGTTGCATTTTATACTAAAAAAAGTTAGAAGTTATTTATATAATTTGATAGTTAGAGATAAAATTGGTTGATCACCTGGCTATAATTGTTTGGACCTTTAGTTAACTAATGTACGGTGAACACAAACCGTGATTCCGGGAACCCCTTTGTAACAAAACCCCAGTACATTAATATATAGGAAATTCTGTGCCCCAGATCTAGCAAAATGTATGGAAACTTTATAGCAAGATATACCCTTGTTTAATAAAACAAACATTTCTTTCTATTTAAACATGTAACAGTGTTCCATGTTATAGTGTTTGAATGTGTAGGTGGAAGTTGTTAGTGATGTCAAACTTTTTATTGACTGTACATTTTTAATACTTCCAATAGAAAGAAGAATTCAAAGCTTTTCCTCCCCCACTCCCCTGAAAAGTGCGTTGTTGCTGCGTGAGCTGAGAAAGACCACGTAGTTTCTGAATCCTTTTCACGCTGTATTAGATAAACTACAAGTTGTGCCTCATTTTCCATTTTCCTCAAGGATAATAGAGCCATCGAATTACCTGAGCGTGTACGTCACGTTCCTCACAAGTGGCAATTTTAGAAGGCCTGAGACAAGAGGATTCTCTTTAAGCAAGTGTCTGTGACAGGGTTTACATGTGACTTTTATTTCCAGTTTTCTTCAAAATATGTAGTTCATTAGTACCAAACTGCGTCTTTGTCTTTCTAACTATTCAGGCCAAAGAAAAACAAGAAGAGTTGGCAATGGACATGAAAATATTGGAAAAACTTCTGGAAGATACACGGAATGAAGTGAAGGAAGAAACGCAGAGAAAGGTTTGTACATTGTTTTCCCAATGTGATTGAAATAATTTTGAGCTAAATTTGAGAACATTCATCCCTTTCCCTATAATAATTTTTTCATAATGTTTGTCAATTTATAAGCAAAAGTTCCCATAATACAATTTGTAGAGGCTATATGTAGCCTTAATTTCTTCAAAGCGTTTTGACATACATGTATGCAGACAAAATTGGTCCAGAGAGAATCTTGGGCTTTTGTTCAGATACTTCTTAAGTAATTTGGTGTCAATTTTCATAGTTCTTAAATTTTTGACAAAATTGAAGCTTAATTTTGGTCCTTACGTTTTCG